ATAATAAATAAAATGATTTATTTATTTTTATTTATTCATTTATTCAGTCGTTTTATTTTGTATTATTATTTATCTATATTCATTTTAGGCAACACATTACCAATGTTACATATTCACAAACAACATATGTTCAAATAACCAATTTTTAAACACAAAAACAAGTACCATTCACAACCCAGGCTCATTATTGATACGTATCCCTATATACTAGGGTTGGGCATCTAAGCTATAATGACGATCCGATACGCATCTCGATACAAAGAATACGATTCGATATATTAGCGATACATTTGTGACATATTGCGATGCAACACGATACGATTCACACCCATATCACGATACGATGCGATATTTCAGCACTAACTAATTAGATCAAGTTTATGAGATTATGTAAAAGAGGATGCTGTGCCATTGAATGAGTTTGATTATTTATAAACCAAGCAAAACCAAGACTTTTTTTACAAACTGGCTTTTCTCTCAGAGCCAGAGTGTCAGTTTACAGTAGAGGGCCATTTTAGAACATAAAGCACATATTATTTAAGTATTTTCAAGATAAACAGAATGTATAAGTGCAATATATATTAAAAAAATATGTATATATTTGCACTCTTTCAACATAAATAAATTTAGCATTGCACAACAAGAATTGTGATTTAACTTTTCAACTATGAAAACAAGTTTTACAAAGATATATTTTGCCACTGATTATTCAAAACTTAAGGTCGTGAACTAGCAGTGTTATGCTGCTTTGAAACATCACTGTCACTGTAAACAACAGACTAATAAAAATATAACAAACCACCAATCTTCTTGCTGTGAGGTGGTCAAACTACCCACTGTGCCACCGTGACACCCAATTATTTTTATCATTATTATTATTAATATTATTATTATTATAATTAAATAAAAATGAACAGGAGGAGGTGTTTAAAACCTTCGTTCTCCGTGACACTAGGCTGAATATCTTTGCAGATGAACAATGCAATAGCATTCGTTATTGGCGTAGAGCGAGCAGAACTGTTGCGCATGGAAAAAAACTTGCAATGCTTTTCTCACCACTTTTGGAGCTGGTTGAAGCAGTGCGAAAGCCTGGGATGCAGAAACACTGGAAGATGCTTTCACAACACCGTGGCGCCGCTTCAAGTGAGATTTCAGATTAGTCGTACTGCCCGCGTATTTTACAGATGCGCGGCACATTTTCCAAATTGCATCTGTCCTGTCATGTCGTCCATCCTTAAATCCATAATGTTGCTTGCCATACTTTAGATTTAAAACTCAGTGGGGTATAAAATGTTTGTTTTGCTTCTCGCGCTTTCTGAGGGCGCACCACTAGCTTCACCCGCACACCTGATACACTGAGTTGTAGTGTGTGCACATCCGCAAATCCGTTGCTAAGGCTTACTTTATGTAGGTCGATTAAATTATGCGCCAAAAACAGGTTGACAACACTTGTTAATAAATAAAAAATACATTCTATATTAAAAATATAAGCTGTATCTCGGAAAAATCGATGCATCTCGCAAAAACCGATGCATCTCGATTTGCTTCCAAAATTTCATTCATCCTCTGCTGCTCTACCGATGCACTCGCATCGTGCACGCGCATGACCGCGTATCGATACATATCGGTTAATCTTCCCATCCCTACTATATACACCTCTGGAGATTCACAAAATGCATCCAAGGAGGTACATTTTATTTATTTATTTGTTTATTTTTATTTTTTGTTTTGTTTTTGTTTTCACAAATCCACAGTGAAAAGGCCGCTGTGTACGCTTTTTCAGGTCTCAAATTTCTCTTCATCTTTTCACTTGCATATATCAACTAGAGACCACTGTTGACTGACTGACTGACTGACTGACTGACTGACTGACTGACTGACTGACTGATTGACTGACTAACTGACTGACTGACTGACTGACTGACTGACTGACTGACTAGCATTTGTTTTAAAGATTAAATGCAGCCATAGGTTGCCCTGGCCACAAATTTGCCCTCTCTAGGTTATTCTTACCAATTGTCATTTTATGAAAAACAAAAACAAAACAAATGTTGTAAATTTAATCATTTTGCTGAAAAAAGAACTTAGAAGAAATGTTTTCAGACCATTACAATTTTACCAAAATACTCAAACTAATCCCTAATAAATCCAGCACATCCAGTAAAACTGAGAAATTTTAAGTCTTATTTTTTTAATAGCTGTATATAAATGTAATTTTATTTGAAAGAAACCTTCATCTTTTTCTCCACAATAGCTTATATTATGGCAAAAACCTAATGTCCTTCAATTACTTTTATAAGAACACATTTTAGACAAACACACTAGTTAAAATCCACCATTCATTCTGGGAAAGGTGCTTTCACTGCACCTTTCACTGCTTCTTTAGTAACTTCTTTAGTGGCCTGAAAGGAACAAACAACCCCTCAATACTGATGTTTATAAGGATGCGGCGTCTTCCCAATGAAGTGTCTGGAAGCCGGAGTGCTTTGGTGTCAGATGGAGTGTGTAGGGAGTAAATGGGGTTAAATAAGCTGGAGGGAGAGATGCGGCACTATTGTCTTTAAGGGTGCTGCGAGACAGAGGTTGTTGAGCGCTGCAGGAGACGCCGGAGTGAGACTGACAGCCAACTTGATTGCCATTTGTCTTGCTGTGAACTACTGTCAAGCCTCGGAGAGATAGAGAAAGAGACCAGACTGCCTTCTCCACATAACAAGAGGCCAACAGGGAGAAAAACATGGATTCGAGGAACCCAAAAACAACTCATGTCTTTCCAAATCCATATGATATTTGCTTCTCTGTTTAACACCAAGAAAAGAAGCTGTTCTTCTGCATACAACATCAACTGGCAGGATCCAAAAGGAGAAAAACATACCATAAAAGTACTTTTAAATGTACAACAACTTACATTTTGATCTGATATCCAAAATTATCATACGTTATTAATACGTTCTTAAAAGGAATAATGTGTTTATAGAATGCATATGTAGAATGCACACTTTTAAAGCATCTTTAGTTTCAGTACTTATTCCAATAAAGTAGACAGACTCAATTCATTTCCTTTAAAAAGCCATTAACCTAATTAATAATTTTAATTAATTTAAATTAATTTAAATTAACATTTGTAAATAATACAAAGGAAATAACGTCATCTGAAACATAGTTTTGAAGCAAAAAACAACAACCTGACATTAATAAAATACATAATTATGATGTAAGCTAAAAACTAGTGATTATTGTGATTAATATTTTAAAAACTGAATATTAAAAAAGACATGCTGTTGAAAATCATGGTGTGTGAAACCTTGATGTCTGTTTCTAAAATCAATATATCTACAGTATTAATAAACTCCAGTGATTTAAAAGTGATATTTTGTTTGGGTTGTTTTAGGTTAATTTTACTTTGTGAGGACATTTTTTTTTAATCTGTAAAATCTTACCCTGGGTTATTTCATCCCTCTTTTCTTTAAGAGCAATTCCATGCAAATGTCAACCTTGCCATGACAAAAGTTTTCACCAAAATACGGAAACAGTTTCTAAGCTTTTTGTGCAAGCAAGTATTTTACAGTGCTTTAAAATACTCAAAATGTTTCAGTATTTTAATATATATATATATATATATATATATATATATATATATATATATATATATATATATATATATATATATATTATTTTTAACATTATAAATTATTTATTCCACTTACAATAAGAGAAAGCATTAAAAGTTTAAACTTAATTAAATTAAATCTTTATTTTCGTCTTTAATTGTGTTTTTATACCCACATTTACACCACAATTGTTTTCTATAAAAGAAGATATTATTATTATTTAGATATCTAAATTTAAAAAACTGCCTTTCTTGTAAAATACAAAATAAAGAAATGTATAAATAATATAAATAGTTTTAGCATTAGCAACTCCTGTGACTAAAAAGACTAAGAATTGTGTTACAAAAGTTAACATGATTTATGATTTGTATGTTATATTTTTGTTTAATACAACTAAAGTGAATTGCATTTTTTAGATCATATTTGATGAAGAAAATAAATTATTTGTGGAACCCAACTCTTGCAGTCTATGGAGCTTTATATCAGTTTGGAGCATCATAAATTCAATTCAATTCAAGTTTATTTGTAAAGCGCTTTTCACAATTATTATTGTTTCAAAGCAATTTAACAAGGTGCACATTAATGCATTACATTCAGATTCGGAAAAGTAAAGGCTATTAGTTACCATAACTATATTAGTTACTAATAACTAACTAACTAGTAACTAATTGCTTTCGACATTTAAAGTTATTATACACTTGAAGTCAGAATTATTAGCCCTCCTTTTAATTTTTTTTCTCCTTTCTTAAATATTTTCCAAATGATGTTTAACAGAGCAAGGTGATTATCGCAGTATGTCTGAAAATATTTTTTCTTCTGGTGAAAATCTTTTTTGGTTTATTTAGGCTAGAATAAAAGCAGTTTTAATTTTTTTAAACACCCTTTTAAGATCAATATTAATGCCCTTTAAGCTATATTTTGTAATAGACTACAGAACAAATCATCGTTATACGATAACTTGCCTAATTACCCAAACCAGCCTAGTTAACCTAATTATGCCTTTAAATGTCACTTTAAGCTGTATAGAAGTGTCTTGAAAAATATCTAGTCAAATATTATTTACTGTCATCATGGCAAATAAATAAATCAGTTACTAGACATGAGTTATTAAAACTATCATGTCTAGAAATGTGTCGAAAAAAATTTGCTCTTTGTTAAACAGAAATTGGGGGAAAAAATAAACAGGGGGCGAATAACTCAGGGGGGCTAATAATTCTGACTTCAACTGTATATAAACATAGTTAACCTGCAGTTATATAGCATATAGGTGAACATATAAACATAACAGCACACAGGAATGACAGAAAAATGGCAGAATTTGAAGTTTGATTGAACTCTTCTTCTGAAAGAGAAGGACAGCTGGAGTATAAGGCATGGAGGTGTGTCTCATACCTGTGGGGACGGCGGCGTCCATGGAGGGTCTTTCCCAGGTGTTGACTTGCTCCCAGGCGAAGCCATTAGTCCCCAACGCCACACTGTATCCGCAATTACTGTAGTGTTCCTCAAACGAACAGCTGCCTACAGAAAACACACCAGAGAAAAGAGGGGAAGATGGCATATGTCAACATGATTAAACCAACGAGTGCCATCATTACTTCATCTCTGCTAAAAACGCGATTTTACACCGCATTAAGCTTTATGCTAGCCGCGAGCTAAGGATTAGAGACCTAGGATGAAATAGCACTAATTAAATGTACTCGTTTGAACACATCATCTTGTAGAGCAGCTTCGAGAAAGGGGTTTATTTTAGCTGCGAGGTGCTGTGAATATAGTCATGACTAAATGGCCGTTTCTAGATATGACATGTAGAAGAGTGACATAATATAGCAGAGGCTTCATGAAATTTCTCTTATGAAAGTGTCACCACAAAATGAATGTGATTTAATGGCCTTTTATTAAACTTTCTATTACGCTTTTATTGCATCTACGTCATCTAACTTGTAGTAGATTATTAGTAGACTACTATGCTAGGGTTAGAGTTAGTAGAATAAGTTCAAAACATCTGCAAATACTATAAAATTGGAGTGTTTGTGATATTAAGCATACATGTCTAACATCTAACACATAGATTAGGGATGTTCGTTTCGGTTAATTTTGCCAATCGACAACCGCCACTGGTTAACCATATTACACAATAACTGATCAGATTAATATTAAATGATTATTTAATAAAAAAAATTACTTGACGTGTCTATTTTGTCTATTTGACACATTAAATATTGCACATAAAATTTGTTTTGACGATTTGTTTTAACATGCGAACAGCAGCAGAGAGAATATATTAACAACAGAACATCTTCAGGCATCTGACGTTCGAACAGCATAGAAAAACAGATAACAAACAAAATAAAAAATAAAAAATAAATAGGCCTGTCCTAAAATTTTTAACTTAAATTACAGATGTAGATAACAAAATGAAAACACTGACTGAATTATTTTTTAAGAGCTGGCTGTTTTGTTTCAATCGTGTTTTTTTCCTCTGTCAAAAAAAAAAAATTTGCGGCTACCTCAAATCAATCGCTACATGGAAATTTAACTATTGCTTCCCTGTAATTCTTTTATCACAAACCTCTGTCAACATTTTATTAAAAGTCATTAGTTTAAAGATTATGTCTTGAGCATCTGATTTTACCTTAGAACTTACGTGCTTTTATTTTCTCCATCAAGACAATGACAAGGCACATATGTTGACTTTTTGTGAAGTATAGGCTACTATGGTATATAACAGTTTTGTTGTTTACATGCATTAATTTGCATGTGTGTTTTATAAGCTATGAAGTAAAAGCCTCAGTTTGGTGCAGAGTTATGATTATACAAAAATCAAGAAAATCATTGGATTTGTTTGATTCGTAGATTAGGCTATGTAGTCTATTTTAAAAATGGATATTTTTTAAGACTAATAATTACTGTAATTTTACAAATGGAAAAACTGTTGGTTTGATGGTTGTACACTAATCATTATTTGATATTTATAAAAACACAACAAATTTCCTATTTGTTGTGTTTACTGATACCATTAATTGGTTAAAAACGCACCCTTTAGGTTAACGGTTAGTCGGTTATTATAAGCATCCTTAATATAGATATTATTTTTGTTATTATTATCATTATAATTACAATTATTATAATTATTATTATTATTATTATTAATATTATTATTAATTGATTTGTAGTTAAGTTGCAGTCTGCATATTATTTATTTACAAGCAAATTAATAGATATATTATCTAAAAATTGCATTTAACATATATATATTATTTTTTATTTGATTTTATTATTAAATAAACACATTCTAGCTGTTTTTTGTTTTTTTATTTTTTGTATGTGTCAGATTTTTGTGTTGATGGACAGATTTGCACATTATAAGTAACATATATATTGTATATTTATATAATAATATATTAATATATTCAATCATTTTCTTTTCAGCTTAGTCCTTTTACTAATTAGGGGTTGCCACAGCGGAAGGAACCGCCAACTTATCCAGCATATGTTTTTACGCAGTGGATGCCCTTCCAGCTACAACCCATCACTGGGAAACATCCATGCACACTCATTCACACACATACACTGCGGACAATTCAGCTCACCCAATTCACCTATACCATATGTTATTGGACTTGTGGGGGAAACCAGACCACCCGGCGGAAACTCGCGCGAACTCCAAACAGAAATTCCAACTGACCCAGCTGGAGCTTGAACCAGCGACCTTCTTGCTGTGAGGAGATTGTGCTACCCACTACGCTACCGTGCTTATTCTACAATCTATATTGCTATGCTATGGCTGGAATACTACCTTGACCAATCAGTATCTATGATGCTTTTCATTTCAAATTAGTTTAAAATATTTCTACAATTAAAAAAAAAACATTTCCATTAATATTTATATAAATAAATATATATCTTCATTTATATATTTTTAATCTCTGATTCTTTGTATGCTGGGCTGAACGTGTCAGACAGTGTTGTTTGATTGGACGCAGCACAAGACGGAAATCGCTTTAAATTGCAAGCATGCTAAGCACTCAGATTCAACATGATGAAACTTCTGCCTGCAGGATACTTACATTAACATTTCTGCATATTTCAAGGACCAAATATTCATTGCAGTTTAATTTCCCCCTGCGTATTATGCTACACAAGAGGATTAAAATGCTACAAAAATAATTAATTTTCCACGAGCGCCGAAAGGCGATGGATCCTACAATACCAGTAAGACTCGCAAACCACATCAAAGGTATTCACAAAGAAATTATACTTATAAAAATAATGAAGTGACAATAGTGAAATATGCTGAATTTTCCAGTGGGAACGATCGGATAGCCTGGTGATCTATTAAAGGAAGGAATTAACCAGTCAAAGAAGTGATTTTGTGGAACTGGTCTGCCCGCTGGGGTTCAGTTAGATAGCAGCTGAAGAAGAAATGAGGTCTCCTGTAGTTTATGCAACCCTCGCTTCCTAATTGCCTTTGAAGTGCACAGACAATCAAACTGCCACCCAGCTCGTCCCGGCCTACGCTGGGAAAACAAGATGTTTTCATACTCACAATGAGAGAGTATCAAACAATTACAATAGCAAAGCTTGGGTTATTAGTCAAGAATGTTGGGTTTGTTGAAGGATGATTGGTTTGTTTTAGAATGTTTAGTAGGAGTGTGTGATATTTATCATCTAAAATAATAAAGTACTTGATGTTTTAACTGAAAAGTAAGCTGAATATCTCGAGTACACAACTTGCATTCTAGAAAACAAAATATACGAGAATCTTGAGATTCCAAATGCATTGACAGTGTGATGAAGCCTTCTGTATAATACACTATCACTTGATCAAAAGTCCTGTTTTCCGGAATGTCAGCTTGCATTTTAAACACCACATTGTCTATTTTAATGCTGCGGTGCCAAAGAAAATAGTTCCAAACAAAGCAGGAGTGGAACTTTTATACATCCTTAAAATAACACTGCTGTGTTTAGCTACTGAATGATTCAGTTTTTTGTTTTTTTGTTTTTTATGATTTAAGTGAGTCAATGATTCAATCTATTCAGTGACAGTCACTTGCTCTGTTTCAGCCACTTTTAATTGATCATTGAATAAATAAGGGACCTGCCACCACAGACTGGTGGATGTGGTGTCTTATTTATTATCCCTAACAAAGTATAAAATATAAATATGAGGGACATAAAGGATAATCAATAAATTGCAGTGTATTAAAGGTTTTTAAATGCATGACGAGGAGGCAATTAAACCACAGGCATATCTAATAACTCATAGAAACATGTGTTAGCTACCTATTCTCAAATATTTTTAGCATATTTACAGGCTAGTTGATCTCCATCGGCTCCCTGGTAAAGCGCCCATAAGGGCACTTAAATTACAGAGATGAATGAAGGCTCTAGTAGCTATGATTAAGTTACTATGGTTATTACTAATTAGTTACTTCAAACCGTGCTCACAACTGACTGGAACTACATGTGCATTAAAAATGTATTGCTAACATTCCATACAATAAGAATCAAGAATTTCAAACGACTGATACTGCTTAGGTGGAAGGATCAGAAACCTCCAACACAGTGTATCCATGATGTCCTCTTCTTCCTAAGTTGGAAAGAACTGACTTTCTAGACGTTTATCTAAACAGTTTAAGAAAATGTGGGACCCATTCAGAAAATATTTCCAAAAACAACATTTTTACTGTCAGATGTAGAGTCCTTGTTATAGCAAATTGGTTCTTTGAGCTCTATTTTAAAGATCTAGGCACAAAGTCTAAAGTGCATGGCGCAAAAAGCATTAAAGGCGTGTCCGAATTCACTTTTGCTATTTTAAGAACGGAAAAATATGGTTTGCGCCATGGCGCATGGTCTAACAGTGTTGAGCTTATTCTCTTAATGAATTATGGGTGTTTAAAGCATAATATGCATCAAACCAATTATAGTCTCATCTCCCATTCCCGTTAAACAGACCATCTGCAGCACAAGGATAAAGAACAAGCCTCCTCCATTCGGCCTCTTTACTTTCTCTTCCTCTTCACTTTTATTCTTTACTCTTTTACTATTGTGGATGAGGAAACAATGTTGTACTCACTCCACTAAAGACATACATTAGCCTGCAAATTAATTTAGTTTGTTAAGCATCAAGACTTGTTTCAAAACTATTTCTAAATTCAGTTCTAATTTTCAACAAACGAATAAATAAACAATAATAGCAAAGTGTGATAAAAAAAATAAAAATAAATACAACAGGTGGACAATTCTAAGCTTGTTTTTATTAAAGCAAATATAAATATGCAAAAAATAAATAATACTAATAATCTGCTTTCAGCTGGTCAATTGCACAATATATTTTAGTTCCCCAAATTAGCAATGCGCCTTAACACACCTCTTTTCTAGACCGAAATACCCATAAATCCACAAAGTGGTAAAAATGAAATCGCTATTTAAACAACATGGCCCAAACGGGAAAATTAGCGTTGCGTTAGTCTGAAAATAGCAACACATCACGTAAAACATGTCTCGTGCCTTATTGC